GGCCGAGGGGCTGCTGAGCGGCGCAGGACAGCGCCGGCCCCCCTGTCAGTGCATCTGACTGCATTAAAGTCTTATCTGCACGCTCTGCACTGTGCACACGCCACTCTCTCCAGACTCTGCTCTGAAACGTTTACTATTGCTGCTAGATCCGGTGCAGCAAATGTAAAAGGGGTTTTCGTACTGAGATGTAGGGACAGAGCCATTCCAGGAGGCATATATGGCTTTTTCTAAACGCATGTTACTAGCTCTGGCATATCATCTTATGCAGCAATGGCCTGACTACTGCCAGCTTCTACTTGCCTGCTGTGCTCATCCAGCATTTTGACTCCTGGCTCTGATTTACTATAATAGGACAGTCCAGTGGTCCAGGAGAGGCCTGGTGCAGACAAACGCAAATGTGTTTCTGTTTAGTTTCTCCAGAGAGGTTCTGGGTGTATTTGTTCATTTACAAGCAGAAGGGAAATATTTCAGCCTCAGGTAAAGAGGGAGTAGGGTCTGCATAAAGTAAGAGAGGAGTCTTACTACTTCATCATGTATTTGACCCTATCCCGAGAAGCAAGAAACACATTGAAGTCTCTCTTCTACCCTACATACACCTCTTGCTTTTTGGGGTTCCCTTTCACACAACTCTTACGTGACTCTACAAAGGTCAGGAAAAGACAAGTTTTCAGTTTTGCATCCCGGTAAGGCTTGTACCATAACTGCCACAATAGAGGAAGAATAGACAAACCACTTGCAGAAAGGGGCTTGCTTGCTTTTAACAAAAGCACAGTACTGCAAATGGGTGGTTTTATTTCTGCTTCAGGACGAAAGATTAGTCTGATGACTAAAAGGCTATTATTCAAAGTGGATGAGGCTGTGAACGGTGATCCTGCTTTTCTCATACCTCCCCCTTCCTCCATTATGTTTGTTATCTTCAGAGTCACATTCTATTTAAAATGGTGACCATACTCTGGTACAGGGTTTCTAGGCAGTTCCTCTCTAGCTTACTCTAGATTTCCTTGCTTCAAAGGTAAAGGCTTGCATCTGCACTATTCTTCCTACCGTAATCTAAAGGTACCATACAGTTTTCCCTTTCTGGATGTTTCTGCTTCGGACACAACAACGTAGGTCTGTAAGGTTTATTTTGAGCCAGTTTTGTGGAGGCCTGGCTTTTTTTTCCTCATTAAAAAAAAATACTACTTGGTTATTAAATAAAGGATCCCACAATCATACACAAGGCAGTAAAGCAGTTGCTTCCATGTCCTTTTGAATAATGAAGAGCTAGAGGGGTGCTCTGTAATGCAGTAGGGTAAGTGAATATTAGCATCAGACACTACTGTTGCAAGACACATCAATGACACCAGGTAAACAACAGCAGTACTAAGAGGAGAATCTGGCAACACTGACATCATGCTTGCCGCGGTGGTTTTTTTAACTTTTCTGTTGCCCTGCCTATTGTCTTAAATCTTAAGTGCCCTGCTAAGGCATCTACTACAGTGTGTTTCTCCCCATCTAACTCCCTCTGTTGTCTGTGCAAGTAGTAAGGCTGTTTATTCTTGTGGACCAAACAAATGGCTTTTTCAGGGTTCCTAAATTGTTGCACGTGGATCAGAAGAAGAGTAGTTTGTGCAACAATGCACAGCCTCTGGGCCACAGTAAACTCAGCCTGCCACGGAAGCAGTGGCTTTTTCTGCGTGAATGCAGAGTAGTGTGCATCAGTACTGGACAGCCCAAGCTTTAAAAAAAACAAAAAAAAAACCCCACCAACTGGCATTCTGAGCTTATCAAGTGTAATTCTCAGATAGCTGCTGTGATACTGCCAGCAGGTGAAGGCTGTGAACAAATTACAATGAGCAATTCTAGTATCTTGCAAATGGGGAGAGGTGAAGTGCTGGAAAAAGGATACGGCTGAGGCCTCCTGGAGTTTGCTAGAGGAAACCAGTAGCAGTTAGCTATGAGCACAGAATGCTATTTTATGCTTTGGGCTGAACCTGCCTTTCAAGAGATTAGTTGATACTTTTCTTTGGAGCCATGACGACCTGTTGCAGCCCCCCCTAAGGGGGCTGTACATAGTAATGTAATACTTGGGAATCTAGGTTCAAGGGTGTATGTGTGACTATAGACACTGCACTAAATACTCCCTCTAGAGCAAGGGCAAAAGGAAAAGAATTTTCCTTTCTTGGTAGGAAGAAGCTATTAAACATATTCAGCTATGTTATCACACACACACGCACACCCCCAACAAAAAGTTGTGTGGGCTAAAAAAGTAACTGCATACAAGGAGTGAGCATTACCCAGCAGCAGAGTAGAGAGTATTATCAGGCTGACGCACTAGCAAAAGCTAGAAGAAAGCTACAGCTGAAGCTTGAATCTCTAGTGTAGTAATTCTTCATAGCATTTGATAGCAATACTGTTAAAATTCCTCACTGTTTTAGTAGCTCTCGTAAGCTTGGTTAGCACCGTACTCACACAAAACAAAATCTTCATTTCTGCTCCAACACTGTGACTTCCTCTGTTGTCGTTCCATTGGCTATTGCAACAAAATTTGTTATCCTTTGCTCAAGAAAGCTATTGCTGGATACTAGAAAAAGCAAAACCAAAATGAACAAAAAAGCTTACATACAGCTTATATATGCGGCAAATACTGCATCATCCCCATTGCAGACTCCATCCCTCACTCTGCAGACTGCTACTCCGTGCATATGCTGCATTTGAATTCACCTGATTAACATTACTCATTGCTGCTTGCTTCCTGCTCCCTAAATACTTCCATTTACCGGCAAAGCTGATTAAGCTGTCTCCACTTTGTTTACCATTAACTACTAGTGCCATTTGGGTACTGGACTATGCTGTTGCCTTTCAGATCTAAAGTAAAACTCCTTGGCTACCACTGTGGGTGGGGATATTAGGCAGCAAGCTGCATACACCAATAATTCTCATTATTTCACACACTTACCATTTCTGCACAGGATACAGGAGTGAGGGGGAGCATGCTGGCAAGGCTTTTCATGTGAAGAAGAACTTGTACGGTGTGGAACACTGTCTTCCCAGAACCTTCAAACCTGTTAGGAGACAGCATGGATAGCAACACCAAGAACACTAAGGATTCTAATACAAGACTGCAAGCCTGTCCTGATGCTGCTGCCTTAAAGCTTTTGTTGTTGTCTTGGGTGTTACAGCCTGAAATTTGCCGCCTTAAATGCAGGCCTGCTTTCACTAGCGCCTTTCCTTCCACTGACCCTGCTACAGAAGCAGCAGCTTGGGGCAGAGTAATAGTAATGGGAAGTTGCTGCAGCCATCTCCTTAGTGAACATCAACAAAAACCTTCCCAGCAGAAAAGCTAGGCTAAATGAATCATTATGTTTTAACAACCAGGAGATATGGAAAATGTCGCTTTAGAAAAATTAAACAGATGCTGGAGATCTCCCTTGGCATTTCAGCCTCAGCAGACACAGAATTCTCAAGAGGTTTATTGTACTTAATGAAATCCATTGGGGGGTGTTATGGTAATGGCATCTACAAGTCTCTCACTAAGGCTGTCTCCCAGTCTGAGGGAGAGAGGACATACATTAAGAAGGCCATCTTTTACCCAAAGACAAATTCTTTCTTTAATAAAATAAAGTGCACGTCCCATAGAGTACAAGATGACTAATTACTCATTAGCAGAAAATAAATTGTCTAGACAGTCTTTTCAAATAGTTCCCAATACAGCTTTTCCTTTTTTACATATACAATCATGCAATTTTATTTGATTGGATTCTTGAAAAGACTTATTTTCTTCATTCAAAGATACAGCAGAAGTTCCAAAATTGTTACGTTGTCTTTTTTGAGAGACAAGGTAGAGGTTGAATGAACGGCAGACACGCTAAAATGGTTACTGGTAGCTTCATTAAAAACATGTAGGTGCTTTCTCCACCCTTCTCCCCATCTTCCCTGCTTCTGTACATCTGCTGTAAATATATTTCTGAACATTCACAAATAATTGCCATCAAGCAGCCTTTAATGACAAGGACTTCATCAAAATTGACCTTTAGGCACCGCTGAAGAGATTAAACCACAGCATAGCGTAAAATCACTTTCCTGCCTAAACTCGTGCTTCTTGCTTCTAAACAGCAGCTCACAGATTTAGACAGAATATTTGAAGCATTTGGATTCCAAAAGGTAAACATCACTTCACACCTCACAGTTCAACAGTGACCACGTACAGTAATTTCTGTGAAACACAAAATGTATGACAAGGTAAAAGAATAAGCAAGTAAGCAATGCCTCTTTCTTTAAGTTATTTCTATGGATTTGGTGTGACTTCCAACTCTGCATGATGGTGGCAGGCCCTGGGTTTTTTCCAGACACCACCAGTATTGCTTGAAGCCCCAAATTAACATACACTGATGTTCACTTAAAAGTACTATTTATGTGAACACTACATAGATACAAATGCAAACCATAAAATAGAAAATGTAATAGATATTCTATTAGGTAATGCAGACAGGCCTAGCGATAGTTTTGTAACTACATAAACATATTTCATAATATTATTTACAGATGGAAGCAGAAACAAACGTTACCATCAAATACATTGACTTAATCAATTCTATGAATCCTTTGAACATCGTTGCTTGTAACAAAATGATCTGCAGCTCCAGCTACCTAGGAAAGGAGAGTGCTCATGATCCATTTAGTGCAATAATGCTGGCTACAAAACCTAAGAGGAGAAAACATTTTAAGAACTAGTACCACATTAGCTAGTGGGACCCCCAAAGAAAAACCAAAACATTTATGAGTTTAAAAGTTCAGCAAGATAAGCAAGAGAAATCAAGGTTATACAGCTGACCAACAAGAAAAGAAAAATTCTCCGAAGTCTTTAGATTGTCAGAAGTCAGAAGCACCAAATGTACAGTTTCTCATGCTATTTTGTTCCAGCTTCATCCTGAACATTCTCGGAGACAGCTGTCCCATAATCAAGGAAACAGCATGTCACAGATATTCCTTCAGGTACAGCACTACGTAAGCCCAAACAAAGAAAGATGAATAGACTCATCAATCCAACAGTCCTTTACCTCTGAGTGCTTGACATCATAACTTCAGTAGTGTTCCTCCATTTAAGTAAATACTGAGTAGCATGAAACTTGCTTCTCAAATAAAAAGAAATACTCGGGAGTGGATGATAAAAACAAGAGGTTCTTACAAGTTGTGCATTATGCTTTCAGCACTGGAGTATAGTAAGCCACAACAGCTAAAGATTACACAAGTTGTTTCATCTTGGCATCATAGATCAAGCATCAGAATAAACTTAGGTGAACAGTCAAGTACAACTCATTTAAAACGACTGACCCTCCAGGGAAAACCCTTCTTCTGGACCTAAAGACCAGGTGAGCAAAAATAACCTCTATGGGGATGCCATGCACAGCACACAAACACCAAAATGCCCATCAGCCTTGGTAAAACTTGACTGCATACCCAAATACAGAGGCAGGCTAACAGGAATCCTAGAAAGAGTTTTTATTTCCATTGTCATCTTTGCTCTCAAGACTTAAAAGACTCCTGGGCTTAACTGGAACTTGTACAAGATCTCACCCATTTACTACCTTCCAAAATCAGAATAATTAAGAATTCTCAAAGATAATGAAACCCAAAGCCCTTTCACTAGTTTCAGTGAGATACAGAAGATGCAGCTGTAGCTGACAAGTACTTAATCACTTATCCCCATGCAGATTTTAAAATGTCACAAGGTACAACTATATGAAAAACAAGGATGATGTGCTGCAAGCTTTCACACAAATGATTTTTCTTAAATTCTCAACTTAACTTTGAGAGTAAGCTTCTACCCAAGGGAAGCTGACTCAAAAAGACCCTTCTCTCCAAAGCTGCGTTATGGACAACTGACCAGCCTCCTGCTAAGTCATCACAAGGCCTTGTAAGTCTTAGTTAGAAGTCTAATGTGGAAGGAAACATGCACCTATTGGCAACCATCACCATGATGCACAGACAGAACCTACAGAGCAGGGTTTGGGAGCCAGGCTGCTGCGGTTTAACCCCACAGCTGCTTCTTGGAGCAGTTCTGCTGCTGGGAGCTCTGTGTGCCCAGGAGCCCAGCCGTGGCACTTGACAGAGTACTTACGCCACCCGAGCGAGACCAGTCGCTCTCAGCCTTTACAGAGTTTTGAAAAGTGCCCTTCAGAGCCAGGCCTACCACAGGCAGAGGCCGGGACCCGGCTGGTTGGCCCCATTTCTCCACAAGGCCTCAAAGGGAGTCACTGCTGCCCTTGGCAACGGAGGACTGGGCCGCTCTGCCTGGCCGTGAGATGGCACCTTCTGCACACAAAGCTGGTGGAGCGCCACGGCCCCAGTGCTCCCACAGTGGTGGTGCCTGTGGCAGTGTGTGCAGCCCTGCAGCTCGCTGCCACGTGAGAGATCACGGTCGCCCTGCCTGGGCACCAGACTTCCAGGTCCCCTACTTCAGGCTGGACAACGCCACTTGTCCCCCCGGCAATGATGGCACCACGGGGCAGCTGGAGGGAATGGCCCCACGCTGACACCAACGCTTCCTGTTGCTGTGGCCCCGCGGGCACAGATGGGCCTTTGCCACCTCAGGGGAAGGATAAGCGGTGCCAGGCACCATAACTCACCCCTCACCCTCCTGCGGGCAGGGGAAAGCTCAGCGAAGCCAGCGCAGACCTTCCCACCGTTTGCCATGCCCACTGCTGCTGTCCCGGGGGTGCACGAGCCCACCACGCTGCGATGGGGAGGCCGAGGAGGATGCAACGAGGCAGCAGAGGCTGTGGCGGCATCTCCCATTTATTCGTTCCGCGCATGGGGCAAGAGTGGGCGCTGCTCCTCAGCAGGTGGCAACTCCTCAACAGGTGGAGACTCGTAGGTGACGCAGAGGGAGGAGAAGAGACAGCCCAGGAAGGACACCAAGCTGGCGAAGTACATGGCGCCACTGGCGCTGCCCACAGTTGCCGTCAGCGGCCCCATGGCCAGGGCCACGAGGATCTGTGCCAAGAAGTACTGGCAGCTCAGCAGGGAGATGTCAACGCCCATCCCGCGCCGTGTGCCCTCCACTTGGGAGCCTACAAACTGCGGGGGACACAGCGTAAGGGGACGCCGCGAGAACCCCTCTCCCCTCCCCAGCCCGGGGGCTCACCTCACGGCTCTGGTAGTAGTCGCAGAGCAGGGAGTAGGGCAGCGTGCAGAGTGTGGCGAAGAGGATGCCGTAGGTAGCGCACAGTGACAGCACCACATAGATGTTTCTGGAGAGTGTGGCCAGCCCCGTCCCCAGCCCAAAGGCCAAATATGCCACGAAGTACAGCGTCAAAAAATATGCACCGAAGTCCAGCGTCCGTGTGCTGACCCGCTCCTCCAGCTTCTCCAGCACAGCTGCAAGACAATGTCACGGCATTCGGGGTGAAGTGCAGCCCTCCCTGCTCCTAGCTGGTCAGTGGATCCGAGAGGTGCGCCTTCAGGCCCTGCAGCCCAGCCGTTAGGCAGCCACATCTCGGCAGCAACCGTTACATCTTTGAGTAACTGGTGGCTCGCACATGTGTACCAAGGACCCCTTCCAAATCCCACTGCCATAACACAGCCTTGCTGCCCTACCTAGGTGGAAGGCATGGCAGAGCTGAAGCCTGGCAGGGCCCCCTGTCCCAGAGGGGTAAATGGGAACTGTTGGAGCGGGGAGAGGGGCAGAGCGAGGCAGATACACAACACACATGACAAGGTGCTGGGGTGGTGCATGACACCGGGGCGCTCTGCCAGGGGCACAGAGGCACTGAGTGCTGCTGCACCAGAACTGTGCCTATGGTGGCTGCATGTATTTCTGGATTCAATGTACATTGAAAACACCACTTGTGAAAGGAACTATATACTAACAGAGATGTATTTTTACTGGACTTCTGACCTCACATGCTGCCAGTGCAGGGCAAGCTAACTAGCAGAGAGAATACGGTAAAAAAGAACACTCTTCTTTAGCACTCGTGCCATGTGGTAGGCTATGTGCAACATAAATGCCAGACTACTTGTTGCAGAAACACCGCTTAAGGAGCAGGTGCATCTTTCTCACAGCAGTGTCTAAGATAGCTGTACTAAGTACCTGAATAGAAAGCAGCACTGAATGCATAGATGCACATTCCCCAGCAGCCCATGGTGACCCCAGCGTTGTACTTCTGATACTCATCTGAGTTGTGAGGCGCTTTCGGATTCCCTTGAAACACCACTTCTCCCATGAAATCGGTATAGAAGAGTAACATCCCCTCAAACGAAAGCCATCCTGAAAGAAGCCAGAATCAACCTATTAGGATTGCAGAGTATCTGTTTCCCCTTCTAAGCTTACACGGATGATATTAGCTAGATCACAAATCACAACTGAAGCCAGGTTGTGCAATGTGAGCATTGCATAACGTTCGGCCACATTTATCTGTGACTGCTGTTCCCCATGCATTACGCTACAACATTTGTCAAAGACATTCAGGATTTATCCTTTGAATTCCTAAGTGGAATCCTAGAGGCTGACTGCAGGCCACAGAATACTGGTTTAGCGAGACAGAAACATAGATAGCAGTAGTCTGAGCTGCCTTCATGTTTTGACAGGACACAACGCTCGGTTTCAGAATGGCTCATCACATAGTCGTTTCACATTGCTGTTGTTCTCCCATATAGAAGTGGAAGGAGTGCTTCTTATGTCACGGTTGCAGCCTCTATAGTGCCTCCGACACAGTTAAAACCTCCTACTCACAAACCAGCATCAGCACCACTGATGCAGGCAATCTCTTAATTCCTTTCACAGCCAATGAGTATTAACTATCTGTTACCTTCTGTCCAATTTTCTGTAAGCTGGACTGCTTGCAAGCCCTTCCTAACCATCAGTCACCCACTGGTAAGAAGAAAGGTAACAGTGCATTGGTTACGGGCACTCCTGCAGTGTTGCATTCTGCATCTCCGCACAGCCTGTTCTGGGATCCCTATACAGAGGCTGTCAAAGGGAGGAAAGTGAACGCTGGTCTCAGGTGTAAGCAGGGAAATACAACTAATCTCATCTTTCTGCTCTGTAATGCCAGTTTTGGAGCATTAAAAAAAAAATTAGTCGATAGTTTCAAGTTCTTGGCTCGGTGGCATTTTTCTCATCCCAGTGTAAACACTCCATTTAACAGACGCGCTGATTTAGGCTGTTGTTATTCCCTTTCTACGAATGTAGGTTTCACTGTTTTGTTGGTTTTTTTTTTTCCTTTTTCACTGTTCTAAGAAACTAAATACCAGAAAGTACCTTATTGCTGAGTATATATGGAATAAATCATGTCCTCTCTAGTTAGCAGCCATTGCAGCAATAGATAAAATATTTTAAAACATTCATCCAAGATAGACTACTTCACAGTGAAAGCAAGATGGCACTTTCTGAATACCTAGGAAGTGGTTGATGCAGAGGTTACGAAGAGCCTTGGGCATCTGGCAGATGGTCGAACAAAGAAGTTTCATGGAGAGTGGTTGCTCAGAGGTCTCGCCTGATCCATTCAGCTCGCTCTCATACTTAACACCATTCAGCAAGATATTGGCAACCTGCATCATAAGAACTCCCAGGTCAACACAACAAAAACCCAAACATCCTTTGAGCAAACTTATGCAATATTACACACCTATCTGATCATCTGAAAGTTAAACTCTGCTGCTGCAGTATGTTGACTTGAAGATGAAGAACAGTGTATTTAGCTAAGCTGGAAGTTCAGCCTAGAAAAAGTGTTAAATGGCAGCAGCTGCACTGCAGCTTTCAGTATACTTGAAACAGTACCCTTTACTTCTCTAGGGTATTTGACAACCACATCCAGATGCTAGCGTAGGGATCACATAGTCGTTTCACATTGCTGTTGTTCTCCCATATAGAAGTGGAAGGAGTGCTTCTTATGTCACGGTTGCAGCCTCTATAGTGCCTCCGACACAGTTAAAACCTCCTACTCACAAACCAGCATCAGCACCACTGATGCAGGCAATCTCTTAATTCCTTTCACAGCCAATGAGTATTAACTATCTGTTACCTTCTGTCCAATTTTCTGTAAGCTGGACTGCTTGCAAGCCCTTCCTAACCATCAGTCACCCACTGGTAAGAAGAAAGGTAACAGTGCATTGGTTACGGGCACTCCTGCAGTGTTGCATTCTGCATCTCCGCACAGCCTGTTCTGGGATCCCTATACAGAGGCTGTCAAAGGGAGGAAAGTGAACGCTGGTCTCAGGTGTAAGCAGGGAAATACAACTAATCTCATCTTTCTGCTCTGTAATGCCAGTTTTGGAGCATTAAAAAAAAAATTAGTCGATAGTTTCAAGTTCTTGGCTCGGTGGCATTTTTCTCATCCCAGTGTAAACACTCCATTTAACAGACGCGCTGATTTAGGCTGTTGTTATTCCCTTTCTACGAATGTAGGTTTCACTGTTTTGTTGGTTTTTTTTTTCCTTTTTCACTGTTCTAAGAAACTAAATACCAGAAAGTACCTTATTGCTGAGTATATATGGAATAAATCATGTCCTCTCTAGTTAGCAGCCATTGCAGCAATAGATAAAATATTTTAAAACATTCATCCAAGATAGACTACTTCACAGTGAAAGCAAGATGGCACTTTCTGAATACCTAGGAAGTGGTTGATGCAGAGGTTACGAAGAGCCTTGGGCATCTGGCAGATGGTCGAACAAAGAAGTTTCATGGAGAGTGGTTGCTCAGAGGTCTCGCCTGATCCATTCAGCTCGCTCTCATACTTAACACCATTCAGCAAGATATTGGCAACCTGCATCATAAGAACTCCCAGGTCAACACAACAAAAACCCAAACATCCTTTGAGCAAACTTATGCAATATTACACACCTATCTGATCATCTGAAAGTTAAACTCTGCTGCTGCAGTATGTTGACTTGAAGATGAAGAACAGTGTATTTAGCTAAGCTGGAAGTTCAGCCTAGAAAAAGCGTTAAATGGCAGCAGCTGCACTGCAGCTTTCAGTATACTTGAAACAGTACCCTTTACTTCTCTAGGGTATTTGACAACCACATCCAGATGCTAGCGTAGGGACATAAATTCCATTGCGTTTAATAGGAACTGTACCCACATTCAGGTGATTTCTATGTGCACAGTATGTAAAATCCTGGCCCTAACAAAGTCTGCTCTCACAAACTGGGTCAAAGTACAGCAACAGCAACAAACAAAAAACAAAACAAAACAAACAAACAAAAAAAACCCACACACCGCACCCCAGCCAAAAAAAAAACCCAACCAAAAAAAACAACAGAGGACAGTTTACCTCGTCCTGGGTCATAAAAAAATGGGCCAGCATACAGAGGTCTCAGACATTCCAAGTTATCACCAACAGTGGGAGGTGAGGTCAGAGTCTTATCCCTGGGTAAGGGAAACCTCACCTCCCTGATGGAACCAGATGTAATGACTGCCATAAGGAGAAGCTCATGGGAGAATCCTATCCCTGGCCCTATCTTGCAGGTATTTCTGTGGAAAGGGAAGATACAGGCTCAATAAAAATGTGTCTTTTTCTGCCATCATGTGGTAGCTCCCTGGGAGGTGAAGCAGGGCTAAAAACACCGACCTGACTTTCATACATGGCCCAGTGAGAGCAGAACGCTCCCATTTCTGCCATCTTAACAAAGGCAGTTGACAGACTGACAGAGCAAATTTGCATCCTGACTGCTATTTTACAGGTATGCTGTTCCCATAATGACTTTATGAGCAAACTGTCACAAGCAGTCTTTAATGATGAATTTGTGCACCACACATTTAAAACTATACGAAGAGATTAAATGAATGCTCAGGGTTACATAGTCGTATCATTGATTTATCTGCCCTCACCTGTTGGCTGAAGGTTACATTTCTTCTTCTGCTATTTTCTGGACAGTGTCCTGTCACGGTATCTGGAATGGCCAAAGTCTGAGGTCTTTTCAGGATCCCCGACGACCGTGGCTTTATTGCATCCAGCGAGCCCACCCTTAGTGCCTCGCCGTCAGAGCCCGGTGTTATGCTGCTCTCCCCTTGCTCCGGAACTCCATTTTCTCCTTGGTAACAGCCATCAGGTACCCGAGGAAAGCTGACACTGACAGGCTGCCTGGGCAAGCTAGCTGGAAGTGCTAATGAACTACTGTGCCCGCCTGTAAAACAGTCTATAAGCACACTGTCAATATTTGAAGTCCCAAATGATGATGCAAACTCATTAATTCCTGTCAAGGAATTGTCTCTGCTGACAAAACTGCCATATTTGGGTGTGAGTGGGCTGAGGGGGGAAACAGGACTTGTAAAACTTGCATACAAGTGAGTTGAGTTATGAGAAACAAAGTTTTCATTTACACCCTCCTCAACGAAGAGAGGTGGAGAAGGAGGAAGAGGAAGACTTGGACTCTTCATCACCTTTTTCTTCCTGCTAAAGGACCTTAAGGGTCTTTCTGGAATACTAACTAGAGTCAGCACAGTGGTGATAGTCAGTATAACTGAGGTGAAGACATAGATGACGCGAAGTTGCCCTCCCACAGCTTTTCCAAAACTGGTTTTATCCCAGTGTATTCCTCCAACAACATAACCAAAGCCACCTCCAAGACCTAGTGGAAAAACAGAGTCAAGATTATCTTCCCTAGCCAATCCTGGAAGTCAGTAACAGCACAGCACTATTTGTCTAATGATTTGTGAGTAGAATCCGACTCAACCCCTTTTCAATTCAAATGCAGTAATAAACACAGTTATCCGTGCCACAAGGACAGTCTGGATGTACAAACACGGTACAGAAAGAGGGAGAAGGTCAGTGCTGTAGATGATACAAGTAATTAAAAATGCTAGTTCTTTCTTTGCCAAGAATAAACCACTTTACCTTCAGCTATTTCAGTCCGTAAAACAGAAGTGTCCACCAGCCTCGTGGCAAGGCTCTGCAATCAGTCAGCTAAGACTGTTTTCCTGAAAGTAAGTGAAAATCCATTTTCCTCACTCCGTTAGAGGAACGCAGATCTAACTGCGTCAAAAACAGACCGAATCACTTCAGAAGCATAGCAAGCTCATTACTCAGCAATGTGTTGACAGTATACAAAACTGTCACTGCATTACCACCGATGAACAGGGAAGTTCTGAGGGTACCGGATACCTCTCTCACTCCATTCACACGGTGAAAGTCTTACGACACATTCTTTCTTATGAACAAATTCAAGAACATGAAACAGTCTCCTGATGGAGAGGAAAACTAGACTAGGGCAGCACAGCAATTGAAGGTGACAGCAATGAGAGATCACAGAGCCCAGTATGTGCTTTCCCCTCCAACACAGCGAATAAAAAAGGCATTTTCCACACTTGCAGGAAGCCAAACCTCCTCCCTCGAGGGACAATTTTGTTTCTGTAGGTGTTATAAATGATGTGAGGCACCTTTGGATGAACAACCCAGGAATGTGTCTTGTTTGACTTTTGGTAGTTACAAAAGCCTTTTGCAGTAAACAGGATTTTGTTTTCAAAGTTAATTAGCACTACGTCTCCAGTCACATGGTTATTATGCTTATATAGGAAAAGACCAGTGATTTACACTCTGCTTTTTCACAGCAGGGTTCGTTTATTTGGGTTCGCGTCACCCAGAAAGCACCAAGAAAGCATACCTGCTAACAAAGCGTGGATGTTGAGGCCCCTGTCCTGATCCACTGGGCTGCATACATCCATCATGTAGGCATGACTGGGATTGTCTGCTGAATCTGCGCTGAAGTCCATGAGGACAACACCGCAAACCGTAAGAATGATCCCCCATTTGTGGTTATTCGCGGTGTCAGACAAGGCACTCCCTATATCTTTGCCATTCAGCATAAGCGAGAGCCCAAGCAACGCTCCTGGGAATAAAACCAAATCAAAATCAATCCACTGGCTGTTTGTAAGCAAAAAAACTTGCACCGCTCCATGCTCTAAAAGCATTATACTACCTGTACAGCTTTGCAGCAAGCACTATTTATTGCTCTTGTTCAGGTCACCACAGTCTGGGGAATGAGTGTGCCTCATAGGATATCCACAATCCTTTTCCACTACTCAAAGCTTACACATGTCTAGAACTAATTCTGGCCAAAGAAAAACATTCTTGACCCTCAAAACATCATCTCTTCAGACTCTGACAAGAGAACCTTTTATGTGTGGATCTCCGGCTGCCAAAGCATGACCTCAGCACCACTCACCACCTTCTTCAGACCCACAATACCCAACATCTCAGAGGCATTTTGTTGAGCCTAGTGGGGGGATGTCACAGAAGAGAGATGCGTAATATTTTTACTTTACAAGCATTATGCCCATCATTTCTAAAAGACACACCTACTGCTAAGACCAGAATGAAAGGTCTTCTCCTCCCGAATCTTGATGTGCATCTGTCACTCCAGGCCCCCAGCAAAGGCTGTAGCAAGAACCCTAGAAAAAAGGAATCACTAATAAGTAGCATTTTTCTACAAGCCTGTTTTGCAGAGGAGTTAAAATAAGTAGCTTGAAAGGCAGTTAAAGGCAGGACACCATAGCATAGTGATATCCCCAGTTGGTACTAGTCACCCAGGTCCCCACACAATGTACTTCCTGGCACTTCCCAGGATGGGGACTGAATAACATAATGTGCTGCTGCTCACTGTCATGGCAGTTCACTCTGCATCACTAATACAGCAGAGTTTGACATCAGGTTAAGAGTAAGAGTACAACAGTTTTATGTTCTAAAGGACTCTGTTCCTTACAAGCTATTTCATTTACCCCATGTTAGATGGGAGATCCCCTGTAGAATTAGCTTGGAAGACAGCATGAAGCAAACATGTGAGTTGGAAAGGTGCCTGGACTACTCTGGGCCAGCCTGTGAGTACGGGCTCATCTACTCTCTTATTCTGAAGTACATCCCAGAAGTATAAGAACATGCAGAACAAAGTTTCCAAGTGTTTATAGCCCATCCTGTGGTTCTTCCCATAGCAACGGATATGCTCCCAGCCCTGCCTCTGTGCTAAGGCAAGTAATCAGGTGCCCGTAACAGTAGTGGTCAGTGGTCTTTCATCATTGGAAGACCTCATTTGTTTCAGAAAGTTTAACAGAAGGCGGCAATCCCCAATGAAAATGTTTTTTTTTTCATTCACCTTTGCGAGCTGTCTCTGTATGCTTTTCTCCATAGGGACATAAAGGGATACACTGATCCTCTTTTGCTAGTTTTTAAATGTAGGAACAGAGCAACCAAAACTTACACTCGCACAAGATGTAAGAGGTTGAGAAGCCACTAAAAGAACAGACCTTTTGATCACATCGGGCCCATTTCAGGCAAGACACAGCAAGGATTATTCTCCATTCAACTGTCTAAAAGTATGGCTAGTGCTTCTTAACCTCAAGAGCACACAGAACATACTTGTGAACAGCTGAGATAGAGAAAACAAAAAAACATATAACCCCCGTGTAACGGAAAAAAACAAGAGGAAAGAAATAGCGTAAAGTTACCTAATATAGGGCTGATGAACCACACCATTCCATACAATTGGTCTGGAAGCCCCATCTGAAGCAGCACAGGGGTAACATAGGCTGTTTCCATGGCATAGCTGAACTCCAGCCCAAAGAGAATGCACCCATTAAACAGGAGTTCTAGGAAAGACCTCTGAGGCTGGAGATCCCCAAATTCAGTCAAATCAATAGGACATGGAGTATTTGGCGGTGGTGGTGGTGAAGGGCGGATGTGTTTTCTCCTTTTTGGATGTCTCTTGAAGTTGTTGGCCCGATGACTTATGTGCCGTGTGACCAATCCAGAATAGCCTGGAACTTGCGACCTCCAGAGTTCCTGAGAAGCCACACTCGGCAAGAGCACAGCATCACTAACAGAGGTCGTTGCAGATGGTGGAATCATCACGGGTAGGCGTCTGGAAGAAAAAAATAGCTCAGAATAAAATGGCTAAGTAAGAAAAACTTTGCTTAATTTAATTTACTGAAGGTCAGGCTGTTTCTCAACATTTCACACACAAAGTGCAGCCTTCGTATTAGCTACAACCTTTTCTCTCTATCTCTTAACACAAGGCATACGTGTTTTATGGGCATGCCTCCTCCATTTTTGCATAAATGAGACACCAGAGATCCTATCTTGGTTACCTAACCATTGCCTACCACCACCAGGGATTAAGACTGAAATATTTAAAACAATTAGCAGTCAGACATGTCACACTACCCAGGAGTTCCTACAACAGCAGGTTTACATTTATCTGCAATTCACTCGAGCTAAATTAAGATGAACCATGACTTCAGTCTAAGTTTACAATAAAGCAAAGCTGTGGCTTGGCTGCAGACCCAGACCCCTGCTACAATGTGAAATCACCTTTCAGTACTGATCCTACCATTCCTGTTGCCTGTGCTGAGGCCAAGCCTTAAGCAGAAGTTTTTTCCGCCGTGACAGAGTTTGGTTTTCTTGCTGTTTACATTCCTGAGTGCAGCAGAGACACCCTGTTGCAAGGACAGGGTCTGCTCATCTGCTTCTTGGTGGTTCTATTTCCATAAGCCTTTACCAGGGCACCCAAAGAATGTGGTTTTGAAGTTCAGACTACCCAAGCTGAACAGCTGGACGAGGTGAGCTGACAACAAATATGCTTGGAATCAGAAGTTGGTATCATTTTTCAGGGCAGGAATGGCAGTTTCAAACTAATTCCTGAGAAGAAGATACATAGCCCTCCCAGCCACCCTCAGCACTGCTGCTCCTCTCTGAGAGATTAATGGCATGTAAGTGCTGAACAGCCTCCTCCAGTCTCATCAGAATCATTCCTGTAGCCAAAGAGCGCATACTGCGGTGGGTAAAACAGCCAAATACGTTCCAAAATAGCATCTCAGGATAGATGCTGACAGATCTGCTGAATTAACAAATCACACGTGATTTCTTGCCTCTTGTTGTCAGAAATGGAAACAGCTCGTAAGTGAAGTCTGACCTTTTCTTCATGCTTTCTTGTCCACAGACCAAAGGCTGCTGCTGGACAAGGATGGCTCCACATCATCTCACACCTTGTCCTCGTTTCAGCTGGGATAGAGTTAATTTTCTTCCTAGTAGCTAGCATAATGCTGTGTTTTGGATTTAGTACGAGAACAATGTTGATAACACACCGATGTTTTAGTTGTTGCCAAGTCCTGCTTACACCAGGCAAGGACTTTTCAGCTTCCCCTGCTCTGCCAGGGGACCAAGGAGCCGGGAGGGGGCACAGCCAGGACAGCCGACCCCAACTGGCCAAAGGGCTATTCCAGACCGTATGATGTCATGCTCGGGGGGAGTTGGCTGGGGGGAGAGCGATCGCTGCTCGGGATGGGCCAGGCATCGGTCAGCAGGTGGTGAGCGATTGCACTGTGCACCACTTGTTTTGTATACTCTGTATATTCTATTATTATTATTATTATTATTACCATCCTCTGCCTTTTTATTAATCTGTCCTTATCTCAACCCACAGGTTTTGACTTTTTTTTTTCCCCGATTCTCTCCCCCATCCCACTGAGGGAGGGGGGCAGTGGGCGAGCAGCTGTGTGGTGTTCAGCTGCCTGCTGGGTTAAACCACAACACACCTCTTCAGGAAAATCCTCACGGCTGCACACTAGTAAGCAAAACTTTTTTGTTTACAGTTCCCCTGGGGAAAAGACTGCCAGATGTTCTGCTACTTCGGCTGTACAGAACTCCCACAAATCTCCCGTTTTCTGCTACCTCTTCTGGCATATTTCACGCACCAGTCTTTCTTCCCATAGACCTTAGGCTACGCAACACCATTCTTTGCTGCACACCCCCAACTATTATCAAAGGCAGAACTCTATAAACCCACGTTTACCATCACACTGACACAATGGTTGTTAAGCATGGTGCAATGATGCCTTACACCGAACAATCCCCAGTTCCACGCAAGCGTCCAAAGACAGACATTGCACAATGCAAAACTGAATGCCAAGCACCTCACGTTAAAACTGCAGTTGGGGTAACTTGACTGTATCTGGGGCCTGACAGGAATGAGGAAGGGTGAAAGAGGGAAGACATCTATTGAAGTATCACTAACATTGTACTACAGGTTTCCTCCAGACTGCTCCTCTTCAGACCAAGATGCATACCACATAAGAGAGAAGAAAAAACGATTCGTAATTGTAACTATACACCTTTGAGAAGCCCCATCTCACAAGTCACCAACAGCAATCTGCATTTTGTTAGGAAAGTTTGTTAGACACAAAGTTCCCTAGATAGACCAACAGAAGGAGAAGCATATCAAGACCTCGTGAAGATGCCCGCGCCAGTGTTTCCCCTCAATGTTGTTTTCACATTACTGAAAACTTCTTCTGACCCATTCCCTTCATAAGCAGAGTACTTACTTCGCAGGAGCGAGTTAAAAGCGAGTTAAAAATGAGGAGAGAGATACCAGAAAAAAAGACATAACGAAAGCCCAGTCAGATACATGACAAACGCTCCAACAAGCCCTTCCAAGAAGCATGACAGCACAGCTGTGCTAGTACGCCCCTTCACCGCTGATATACCATGCTATCTGCACCCAGGGTGTTGATCTCCCTATATGCATCTATTATTTACTTTTTGTACTAAATCCTCCTTTGCTTTCCTGCTCTGTAGTGTGCGTTGCAAAGGAATTGTATCACAAGTTGTAAAGTGGCAACATTTTAGTGACAAAGGGAAAGAACCTTTCTGCACGGCTCAAAAATACGTGTGGTGATCTGCAATTGCTTGGAACAAAACGCTATCATTGACAGCACGTCACTGGTCCAGCAGAAAGTCAGCAAAAAAACATGAACTGAGCCTATATTCTCCATTGCCCATTTTCCTCAACTTACGACTCATTCCGCAGAGGGCATCTTCAAAGGACTTAAGCCCACCCTCAGGTGAATCTAGCTGGTGAGCACAACAGCTTCAAAGCAGGAAACCTCTCCTTCAGCACGGAAAACAATTACACAGCTGTTAACTTTCACTGTCAATAGCTGTTCACGGTTTTCGGCACGTGTTATACCAAAACCCGCGCATCTCAACCTGCGGGGCCTTGGCCGCCTGCCCTCTGCGCAGTCCCACGCGCGCACGCAGCCCACGCGCGCGGCGGGCAGGACCCGTCCGCCATCGTTCCTCCCGGGCACCTCTGCGCCGAGAGCGAGTTGCTCCTTCTCTGGCAGACTCTAGTCCCGGTTTTCCCGTGGCGGGCACCGAGGGCTCCAAACACACCGCGGCCTCAACGCCGC